GAGTTCCTGTAGTCCTGCAGTTTTCAAGCTGAAATGAAAAAACATCATGAATATGAACTTTACAGTCTCTAGTTACCTGTTCATAGAAACACATGGAGGTGTCTCACCTTGTGACTGACAATAAAATATGTACATTTATGAACGTTAATGAACTTATAATGATGCTCCTACTCTTTGAAGGTGAACCGATGGTACCACACCATCTCTCAGTCGGACAGTCTGATCAGTTTGATCAAAATCCTCCAGTTTAAAATATTCACTGCTCAGATGAATCCTCCTCAAAGATACTTCCTCCTCTTCCTCACATCTTGTTCTTTGGGAAACCTTCACAATGAAAAAAGGAGATTTGTGTTTACACAAAAACATTGTACAAAGGAGGTCAATCTTATTTTCTATTTCCTATATTCTCCCTAGTTTTATTTTTTTATATCCTAGAACTTAAACAAAACTCCAGTTTTGATGCATATCTCTTGATAATAAACCAAAGCTGCTGAAATAGTGAGTGTGCTTGTTAGAAAAATATTCCTGTCATCAGATCTCAGTCAGCTTCATTGCAGCTGAACACCGTGTTACACTGAACATCACATCAGCTGGTGGACATAAATACAGTACAGTAATATTATATTCACAAAATACTATAATATGTTCATCTTACTGTGAAAAGTTATCCCCCAATACCTGACGTCAACAGTCCGTCGATTAGAACAGAAATAAGCTGCGAAGTGCTGAAACATCTTCTGCTTTAACCAAATAAGGACGACCGTTCCAAGTTGGCGGCCGAAATTCCTGCGCCGCAGCAGCCGATGAGGGATCTAGTGTATGATATCTATGGTTTTGTCCACCTGTTCTTCAGACCTGACCTCAGATCCACGTGTAGGCGGAGCGAGGAGGCGCGTGAGTAAGGGGGCGCTCCAGCATCCAATCAGATGCGAGCAGGGCGGAGCGCTGTTAAAAGTCTCGTGCGGCTCCTCAGCAGCTGCAGTCAGTTGGAGCGGTGCTTCAGATCTTTGGGCTACTTCACAGTTCTCCTCAGAGGGCTCACCCAGACTGCTCTGGACGAGTTTATTTGTTTATCTTTTAATCCTCGACTTTTACAGCCGAGGAAACGATGCGGCTCATCCAGAACATGACGACCATAGCGGAGTGCACCGCACCTGAAAACTCCGTCCCGAGCCGGGTCATTAAAATAGCTGTTATTGGAGGCAGCGGAGTGGGCAAAACCGGTAAGAAAAATTAAAAAGCTCACCTGTGTCTATAAAAGAGCGAGATATCTGGTCACTATTGTAACTTTGTTTATTATTTCAGCTCTGGTGGTGAGATTTTTAACCAGGCGTTTCATTGGAGACTATGAGCGAAATGCAGGCAAGTTGGAGGATTGTTCACGGAGAGAGTGGCTCCTCGTTTAAAGTGTTTGCTGCTAAACTTTGTTTCCTCTGATGTGTGCAGGTAACCTGTACTCCAGAGAGGTCCAGGTGGACGGAGAACAAGTGATCATTCAGGTTCAGGACACTCCTGGTGCAGAGGTGGGTGATTATTCTCCTCAGATAAACTGGGACATAATTACATTTTCCTGTGAGCTGGCTGCTTTAAAAACCTCATGAAAAATAATAATAAACACTGGCTGTGATCTAAACCTCTGTTTGGTCTCCATTGCAAACCCAAACATGCTGTGGGGATAAAGTTAGTTTTTTCCCCTGAATTAAACTCATTCTGGCCGTCTCCCATTCAGATGAACGTCTGGACCAAACTGAGTCCAGATCAGCCTCCACCCTCACTCTGTTCTGCAGCAGTAATGTTATCCCTCATGTCTGTTTCACTCAGCATCCCAGGCATTACAAAAGTTTCCAACTGCATAAAAATGGACTGATTTTGTTTTTTATATTTAATAAATTTTTTTAGGAAAGTGACTAATCAACTTCCCCTTTCTTTTCTCCTCAGATGACTGATAACGGTATCGGCCTGCCTGACCACGTCAGCTGCTCCATCCAGTGGGCTGATGCCGTGGTGCTGGTGTACTCCGTGACAGACCGAGGCAGCTTTGATTTGGTGGATCAGCTACATCAGCTGGTCGTTCGTGCAGGTGGGTCCAACATGCCTCCTGTGATCCTGCTGGCTAACAAAGCAGACCTGCTGCACCTGCGGTGTGTTGACTCCCAGCAGGGCCCTCTGTTGGCGAGCTCACTGGGCTGCGCCTCCTACGAGGTTTCTGCCAGCGAAGACTATAACCAGGTGCATGAGGCTTTCCACAGGCTGTGCTGCCAGCTAGCCAAGCAGCCACCCTGTACTGCTGGCCCCTCACACACCTCTGCTGGTGCTGCCACGGAGAAGAGACGCTCCCCCCTCATCCCCCGACCAAAATCTCCCAACATGCAAGATCTGAAGAGACGCTTTAAGCAGGCGCTGTCAGCAAAAGTCAGGACTGTCACGTTAGTGTGAGGAAAGCTGCTGAAACTGATCCTGAGTGGTCCTAATGGAAGGACAGAGCTTCTCCACTTGATGTCCAGTCAGACTGAAGGCAACAGTGAGATGAACGTCTGTCTAACAGAAGGTAAATGATCTGAAGAGGTGTGGACCTCCTGCTGGGCAGGAGTCAGTCGTGTCTGAAAACGTGTAAAGACGAGCAGGGACTTTTTCCTGTTCAGGAGACGTTTGAGGACACACAAATTGCCGTCTGAGGCTGATAAGGTGACAAACTGCATATAAATAAATAAAAACTTCACCCAGTTCTCCTGGCAACAGCAGCTCTGAAGGACTGCGGCTCCTCGGAGCAGTTGATTATTCAGACTCCACGGCTCTGGCAAATGTTTTACCGACTCGAGCCAGGAGTTGGTGGAGCTGTGTGCGTGCTCAGGCTGTCGACATCTGCAGTGCACGTAGTCCTAATGTTTTGAGTTTTCAAGATGTGCACGATGGAGCAGCAGGCTGATGTCGCAGATGTTTATTATGACCACTAATGCACTAAAACTGGTCCAAAGGGCTAATTTGTTATTGCTACACATTCACTGTGCACAATAAAAGGATTAAAAAAATGAAACTTATGTTTGACTTTATTTTTGGCACTTGTGCGAATTTAAAAAAAGATCTGAAGTTGCAAAACAAATGTATTACCTGTAAACCTTTCAAACCATTTGTGATGTCTGTCTGAAGATGACGCACACAGACTGACCATGAATAAACCAAAGACCTTGGTAACGTGCAGCGGTAAAAAGACGATGACGACACAAACACAATGAAGCTGTGACTACAGCTGCTTCCAGCACCTTTGATCTGACTAAAATAAAAACCAGCACCAGAGATGCACCTCAAAATAACACGAGACAAATTTTCTGAGAAAACCTTGTTTTATTGATTTTTCTGAAAACTTCAAAAGCCTCTGTCGGAGCGATAAATCGTAATCAATCTTCCAAAAAGTAAAACCCGATTGTAAATAATGTGAAACTTCCCTGCAGACCCTTATAATCTGACAAATTAGGTGGCTGCCAAAAAATGGCTGAATTGTAACCGAAGATCTTTTGCTATTTTTTTTTTCATTCAACTTTTATTTATACAGATCTGTAGTGTAAGAGGTGGGCGAGTGTTTCATGATGGCAAAAATAAAGCTGGAGGAGAAACTGAGTGTAGGTGAGCTCTTGTGAAGACGAAAACAGTTCGTTGTGACCCGTCTATTTTCAAAGCTACTTCAGCACTCCCTCCTGTTCACAATGGCCAAGTGTGATAAATGTGTGTGAACAACAAACATCAAAGAGCTGAAACATATTTAACTTTTTATTCTTTTAATGTTCAATGCATTTGGATTTTAAACCTTGACAAACATGACAGGAATGTTTAATTTGCATAAAATAAAAAAAATTCCCCTCTATCTTTACACATAATTAATTCCTCAGTTGTCTAGATGGAAGCGGTGCTTGTGTTGTTTCAAGTCACAGCCTTTTAGAAACCGACATCAGGCACCAGTCTTTGGGTGGCGAAGAGCAGCTCGGGGATATCTGTGGGTCTTAGTAACCTGGTGGAGAGGACCAGCACCTGGAGCGAAGCAAAACAAACTCATTATGTCAGCGCGTGTAATTTGACACTTCAGTGCACGAAAAGGCCAAGGTGAGTAGTCAACACTGTGGTCATCAACCATGAGTCTTGGCAGCAGGCTCATTTTGTCAATTTTATTTAAATGCTTCTGTTAAGATGAATGGGATTCAAAGTTGTTTAGTTCCATTATAGCTTAATGTATTTTAGTAGGCAACACAAGGTCATTGTAGAGGTGTCAAATGTAAACAAATAGAAAGTTTGCGTGCTGTCCACAATTTTGATGAAAAAAAAATCAAATAAAAAAACAAACAAAAAAAGGAACGCCTATTATAATTTTGCTGATACATCCTCTTAAACAATGGATGCTTATTCTTATCTGTTTCAATGTTGTTTCAATGTTGATGTGTTCGTGCGTGCACATCTGCTCACACAGACTCATGTTCATGTTTGTGCTGATGTTCAATGTTTTATGTTATGAGTGCTTAGTGTATATTTAGTTGATGTTTTTCTTAGTTCATATCTTAGATGTTATTACTGTTTTTCTTATACATTTTATTGTTGGATGTAACTGGGACCCTGTGTACATAATTTCGCTCCACCACATGTACCACATGAGGTGCGAATGACAATAAAGAAACTCTGACTCTGACTTATTCAGACGTGGGACCAATCGTTTTTACAGACCAACCCCCTGAACTTAAGTTTGACTTTTCTCTTTTTACTTGAATGCAAATCACCAGCACACCGTTAACATTTAGCCGTTACAGCTGCAGGAATCTGAAGGTTTAGAGGCTGAGATGCTGAGAATAACTTCACCAAGGTCCCATTTACATGAACACGGAGGGGGAAAACGTAGGTTTTTTATTTGGAAGTTGATCTGAGGAAAAATCTGCAATGACACGGAGCACGTTTTGTGTTTACATTAAACCGCAGCACATCAATTACAGGTCCTTCTCAAAAAATTAGCATATTGTGATAAAGGTCATTATTTTCCATAATGTAATGATAAAAATGAAACTTTCATATATTTCAGATTCATTGCACACCAACTGAAATATTTCAGGTCTTTAATTGTTTTAATACTGATGATTATGGCATACAGCTCATGAAAACCCAAAATGCATGTCCCAAAAAATTAGCATATTTCATCCCACCAATGAAAGACAAGTGTTTTTAATACAAAAAACGCCAACCTTCAAATAATCATGTTCAGTTATGCACTCAATACTTGGTCGGGAATCCTTTTGCATGAATGACTGCTTCAATGCGGCGTGGCATGGAGACAATCAGCCTGTGGCACTGCTGAGGTGTTATGGAGGCCCAGGATGCTTTGATAGCGGCCTTAAGCTCATCCAGAGTGTTGGTTCTTGTGTCTCTCAACTTTCTCTTCACAATATCCCACAGGTTCTCTATGGGGTTCAGGTCAGGAGAGTTGGCAGGCCAATTGAGCACAGTAATACCATGGTCAGTAAACCATTTACCAGTGGTTTTGGCACTGTGAGCGGGTGCCAGGTCGTGCTGAAAAATGAAATCTTCATCTCCATAAAGCTTTTCAGCAGATGGAAGCATGAAGTGCTCCAAAATATCCTGATAGCTAGCTGCATTGACCCTGCCCTTGATAAAACACAGTGGACCAACACCAGCAGCTGACATTGCACCCCAGACCATCACTGACTGTGGGTGCTTCACAATGGACTTCAGGCATTTTGGCATTTCCTTCTCCCCAGTCTTCCTCCAGACTCTGGCACCTTGATTTCCGAATGACATGCAAAATTTGCTTTCATCAGAAAAAAGTACTTTGGACCACTGAGCAACAGTCCAGTGCTGCTTCTCTGTAGCCCAGGTCAGGCGCTTCTGCCGCTGTTTCTGGTTCAAAAGTTGCTTGACCTGGGGAATGCGGCACCTGTAGCCCATTTCCTGCACACGCCTGTGCACGGTGGCTCTGGATGTTTCTACTCCAGACTCAGTCCACTGCTTCCGCAGGTCCCCCAAGGTCTGGAATTGGCCCTTCTCCACAATCCTCCTCAGGGTCCGGTCACCTCTTCTCGTTGTGCAGCGTTTTCTGCCACACTTTTCCCTTCCCACAGACTTCCCACTGAGGTGCCTTGATACAGCACTCTGGGAACAGCCCATTAGTTCAGCAATTTCTTTCTGTGTCTTACCCTCTTGCTTGAGGGTGTCAATGATGGCCTTCTGGACAGCAGTCAGGTCGGCAGTCTTACCCATGATTGCGGTTTTGAGTAATGAACAAGGCTGGGAGTTTTTTTAGCATGCGTGCTGCCTAGGACTAGTGTCTGTAAGGTCTTTCCTCTGGGCTGAAAGCCCAGATAACAAAACTTAAAGCTGGATTTTGGATACAAGTCAACAGATTTGACGCCACTCGGACCACTTCGTCTAACAACTCGACACCGGTCGCTGTGCAAACCAGCGCTGCCGCAGATGATGTTGGGCTTTCTACTCTGTGACAGTTGAGCAATGCTACAGCAGGTAAATCCATGTTCTTAATAATGTTTGGATGTGTTTACTTTGGTTACACAAACAACAAAGATTTTTTTTCCTGTGAGGAGAAGCTATCTTCCCACCAGAGGCAGACCGGTTCAGAACGAGCTTACTTACACCTCGGCCTGAAGCTCGGTGGTGTAGGAGGACGTCGAAGAGAAATGTTGGATCAACTATTTACTTAAAATTCTCCTCAGTTCTTTTTTCCAATCCATTCAATGTTTTCAGCTACATTAACAAATGAGTAACAGCCTGAACAAGCTGGATAAACAACATGGCGCCAGAATCCAGAATGACAACAGAGAGTAAGAGTACAGTCATTAATGTATCCTGATGCATGCTCAATAATCCAGGTAGAAAAATCCCAAAAAGTTCAATCTGGTCCTCTGGACATTCAAAAAAACAAAACAAAGCAAAAAAAAATGTAGAAACGTTTGTAGAAAGACTTCCTCAGTCTGAGGTGCTGTATTCAGCTCAGTCTCTTAAATAGCACCACAGCATTAATGTAGTTTAAAGTTTGATTAATGTGTTTTTAATAGTGTGTTCAATTTTCTTATCTAAGTTTATGTGACATACAGTTTGTTGTGTTGAATAAATAAATAAAAATTAAACCTGATGTCTTCATTTTGAACTTTAATAACATGAAATATATTTTGCATCATTTTAATCACATAACTTGAATTACATAATGTCCAGATAGCTTCATTTAGCTCATATAGCTTCATTATATTTCCCACCATTAACAGAAATACTGTTTATTATTGTTACTGTTTTTATTTAGCACGTTTAGTATGTTATACTCAAGCACGACACGTGAAATATACACCTGCCTCGACAGGCTCGTTCAGCAATTTCAAACTGGATCTGACTGGTGTCTCTTCCCAACGCAGATGTCGGTCACAGCTCCTACATTTTGGTGTAGACTAACTACAAGACCCAAAATATATTACATAAGTCGTAGCACAGAAAGTAGTATGTTACACTCTGGCGTTATTGTTGTTGATAGAAATATGCTGTTGGTCTGTGCGTGCGTTAAATATATGCCTGTAGTACATATGTGATTTCACAGCTTTGCGGGAGCTGTTGACACATCAGTGGGTGGTCTCCTTGAAAACCTCCACTTTGAGGGGTGGGTTGAAAAACCTCCAGATTCAACGAGGGGCGCGACTGGTAAATGAATAGCTTGAACCGCAGAGAGAAAGGTGCGGTTTCACTCACGTCGTGTAAATGGGCCCAAGGTTTCCATAAAAAAGACTGGCAATTAGGTTATAGTTGAGTAAAATGAGTCCATTAATTTTAGTGCAAGGAGGATATCTTTTGTACTTTTTTAAAAACCAAACTAATTTTCTTTGTTTTAGAAAAAAAAGAGTCAAAATTACCAAATTTTAAAATAGCAGCATGCAACCATGTAGACAGCAAAATATATTTCATATAAACACCATGTTTGAGCGTGAAAACAGAGATTTCCACTCAGATACTCTTCATTCTTAGTAGAGCCTGACCGATATGGAAATTTTGGCCATCACCGATACTGATACTGGGGGCTGTGGCTGAGTGGTTAGAGCAGTCGTCCTCCAGTGCAAGAGTTGAGGGTTTGAATCCACCAGCAGTCACATGGTGAAGTGTCCCTGGGCAAGACACTGAACCCCTCGATGCCTCCGATGTGTGTCCCATCAGTGTATGAATGTGATAAAGCACTGATTAGTCTCTTTAGAATGATTTGTTCAATTATCTTTGTAGAGATCTAGTATAGAGCTGTATGAATGGGTAAATGAGGCACAGATTGTAGTGTAAAGCACTTTGAGAATCTTGATCAGATAGAAAGGAGCTATATAAGTACAGTCCATTTACTATTTACCATTTAAGGCAAATGCCGATAACCGATATAATGGCTTAACATTTTTGAGTTCTGTCCACCCGCAAGAATCTAAGTAAACAGCGAATGGAGTGAGTCTTGTTTATTTAGCACAGCTGTTAGCAGCTATGAAGCTAAGTAAATCAGATCCATGTTATATGTACGTAGTCCCACAGTAGGTTTACAAGTGGTGCACTGGTCATAAAAACAATATTCCTAACGAGCATTCACATTTTCTATCCACTATTCACCATAAAGTTATCAAGTGCGTTATAAAAATATTAATTAAATAAAGAAACACCCTTCCTGTTTATTGTTTAAATAGTCAGTCACATATGGTGAAGGTCTAATTATTATTGACCACAGAAGCATTTTTTTTTCTTTGCAGAGAAGTAAAGATTTCAGACAAACAATGCATTTCAATGAGGACGACAAAGATAACGTTACTAACAATGATATATTTTGTCTCTATATTTATTGTTTTGGATAAAATTTTACAAGGCAATAGCCTATGCTAGGTTATCTAAATGTTAGCTTGCTAACTTGAGAGGCACGTAGCTAATATTGGAGGACTGAAGATAATTTATTATTGTTGGTTTGTTTTACAGATCAGTTAAATAAAATTACCATGCTCTCTTCAGCAAAA